GAAACTGGATTAACTCCTGCCCACGAGGTAAATGAATAGGCAGCAGCAGCCAATTTATCGCGGCACTACCCTTGCCAGAGCCCCAAACTGTTTCGATATCGGAGTTTTACAAAACCTACTTCGTAATTTGCTAGTACAGTAGCTAAGGTNTTCGACTAAGTACTAAAGGTATTCGCAAGTACATTAGAACGTAAAGGCAAAGCTCAAGATCATGCGCCATCACAGATGGTGGATTAGGGGCTTGCGTATAGACGACAAGGTGTTGAGTAACTCGATAGTGGAAAAAAAAGTAGAAAAAACATGACCAGTACTAAATAGAACCCGATATCAATCGCAGTTTGTCGTGCCCATCTCCAAAACTACGCCCTCAACCCCGCACAGCTGATTCCCCGGTAAAAACCCCAAGACTGTACAAGTGAGGATTTCCACGCTTGTCGTCCTGCACTTCGAGCGGATTCTGTAGGCGGAGTCACCGGAAAAAAAGAGGCGTCATTGAACCTATATTGCGCTATAGCGCTCCTCACTGACGCCACGAAAACGGTACGCGGTCGTTCGTCGCGGGCCACATTACCCTCCCGACGCCATATTTTCATCTTCTATTAGGAGCACTTCCACCGGTGAATATTGAAGCTGTCGGAAGTCTTCGGAGAAATCCAGCAGTTCACTCAAACTTAAACTAATAATATCACGCAAAGAAGAAACATCAGCACGACAGGCTTGCTCTCTAGAATTAGGGTGAATTGCGTTGCTGGAAATGACACGCGGTGATACTCACCAGCAAGGCACGGACATGATCACTCATCGACTCCACACTTGACTCTATGGGATGTCGTTCTGCACGCATGAAAGCTCGTCAAAACATGGTAATCACAAGGGCAAAATCAAGTAAAGGAATAGGGGCGGTTACGTGACCACTAAAACTTTTGCTGAGGGGTCCTGCTGCGAAAGCCAGAGCGCAAAGCCAATAAAAGAACTGTGCGGCCACCAAGGAGACGGAAAGGTGATACAACAAACATTGTCACCGAGCCAGGAGATGGTTTTTTTCAAAGGCAGAGACACCGTTGTGCGTATGAGCCAGCTATTATGCGAGAGAGGTCAGGGACACATCGTTGTTGGGGAATTCCCAACAGGGGGGTCGTATTTGGCCGCCAGGAGAGGGGGTCGTATTTGGGCTGAGAAAATTTATTTTGATAGTTGATTTTTCTCGCTTCACGGACGTTGTGAAAAGGGGGAGGGGGTCGTACTTGCTCATTGCTTGGGGGGAGTCGTATTTAATTCCTGGCCTTCTCGGAGTGGTGGGTTGACTTTCTCTCCGTGCTTCCTTTTCATGCGCCCCACCCGCCCCCCCGCCGCCGCCCCCCCCCTCGACAGCAAATTTTGAGGAAACAGTAGGGAAGTTTGTGGGGACATCTTGGAAAAAAGCGACAGGAAGTGTGGGGAAAATCGAGAAGAACTGGAAGAGAAGAAAGGGGGAGGGGGGTCGCATGACATATTCGTGTCGGCGGCTTTTCCCGTTTCACATGTGCAATTAAACCCCTCCCCTCCCCCGCTCGATGGCTCGATTCGATGAGGAGGGACAGAGGGTCGGAAGGGGGAGGGGGGTGGGTCCGACTAAAATCCCCAACCAATGATGTGTGTGCACGAAACGCCATAGAGACGTGAGAGCGCAGAGAAAAACAGGAAGTTGACGATGTTAAAGGGACTGAGTTTGAGCTGCCCGTAGACCAATAGGGACCGGAAGGTCATGCTCAGCTCACCCTTGCCATTTCGCTGGGAGTGGCGCTGTACACGGTGCCCGGCTTCTGGTACAAGATTAGAACATTTGCGGTCAAGACACTGCATTTATTCATAGACTCCTGCCGGTGTCGCAAAGGCACTCTCGACATATGACAGAGCCAGCTGAGAGCAGAGATGGAGCAGAGAAATGAGACCAACTTCTCTCTGGCGTGATTGCCTCGATTTGGAGCGGGTCGTGGTGTCTGCGGAGTGGCAGTCATGGGAATTTCCAGTATGGGTTTTTGTGAGAGACCCGTTTTCATTTTCAGCAATAATGAAGATTGTTCAACTCGAGAGTCGTTCACGGCTGAGGAGCTTTCAACGCCCATCGATTCTCACAGTGGGTGGAGGACTGAGGAATAAAATCAGTGGTGCTGCACGTAGGCGGCATCCACAATTTCTAGCCAAAGGCACGTCCTGCGATTAGATATGAAGTTACTCTTCCTTCGCGAGTAAGTAGCACGGTGGCGATTGCACCACTTTTGCGGGGTAAATCAAGTGACGAGAGCACCCATGCTTTTTGCGCTCCCCGAGGGGATTCATTTGGTGTATTGGCGACGCCTTTCTGTTTTTCTTCTCCATCATGGACTTTCTTGGCATGCTGGCATCCCTACATAAGCCCCACAATCCAGAATATCTGGTCGCAGGCTCTGCCTTGAACGTATTGGGGTAGTAGATGTGGTGCTCCTCATAACCCTTAACTTTCGAGTATGGTCGCTTTTCGAAACTAGGTCAATCCAGTCATAGAAGGATGGACATGTCCGCAAAGTTTCACTGAAGCTGGACCTCCATATCAAAAGCAAAAGATTGTACCACTGTAGCAGGTGGCTAGGAAGAGAGTACGGTTTCTCTCTGATTACTGCTACCCTTTCGGCGACCGTTTGGGTGTAAATTGCCACACGACGAAGAATAATGTTTTCAAATCCTAATCGTAATCTTATAGGGGCAGTTCAGCGACGGGGGGGGCAATTTGCACTTGGTATTTCCCATCAACGTACCCACCCATCTACAGAGCAATTACAAAGGTTGACTGGTTCTACCATGGTGGCTAGACGAGCTTGCTCAAGCTTCACAAGAGTTTACAGGTTTCACCACTGTGAGACTTGTAGACAGGAACTAGTGAAGCAGCGAAAGTGCAAAATGCCCCCCCCCCGTCGCCGAACTGCGCCCAAAAACCTCCCATGATTTCTATGGTAGGACACAAAACATGTGTTGTTACACCAACAAAAATCACACCTAAGGAATAGAATTCGAGATTAAGAATTCAAGCTGGCGCCGGCGCCACTACTGAGGGAAGGGTATTGTAGGGCGTTCCCAAGGTGCTTCTTTCACTGGGAAGTTACTTATGGGCCACTGGTTCATGATTGGCGCGTACTACCCGTAACATTTGATCGCGGGGCTTGTCAATAAGTGCAAAACAAGACCTGTAAAATCCCGGGAAGCTATGCAGAAGCTATGCAGAAGCAGGTCTCATTGGAGTATTATACGTGTGTATCAACAGGGTCTAATAGAAGAAGCTAGCGAAAAGGCAAACCTCCCCCCCCCCTCCCCCGTCCTCCCTCTACTCAACCGAACGCCGCCTAGTAATTACACCCTTACACAGTACCAAAAAAGGCCAACAAAGACTTTTTATCTTGGTTCTGATCTATATATTTTTACATTTAACTTGTAAAAACAATATCGCCGATTAACAAAAGAAAAATCTATCAAAACTCTCGAAAGCAGGACTCGGACTGTTCCATGTGTTTTTTCGGTACTACACGTCCCTAAGGGCGTGGAAATGAGATGTCGTTTAAAACTATTCGGTAATTGTTTTTCAGAAGAAGACGGATTGCCTGACTGCCGTCATTGGAGAACAAAGAGCTCGCTTTAGTGATAAAGTTTCAGTTATCCTAGCTGAACTTCTGCTGTTTCTCGGTTTTCAATGCCTTTGTGGTATTTTCATACCCTTCCATTAATCCTTTCATTCTATAAACCAGTAACTTTGTGTGTCGGTTTGTATGTTTGTATGTATGTAGGTTTGTAGTATGTATGTATGTATGTATGTATGTTTGTCTGTCCGTCCGCAAAATACTTCACGGGTTCGAGTTCGCTGGAGGCGAAAACGACCGCTAGGCAAACCGGTAACCGACTGGGAGGATGTAGCAGTCCAATGATTTGATTGTGATAACAGCCTCCGCTATATAAGACAACCATTCGGTACACTCCGAGCCATTGCACGAGCTGCTGCCGTGGCAGCTGGACGTGTGCTCGTGCGGGGGCAGGGTGGGGGTGCCAGGTCGCCCTGCTGCACCGCTCACAAAACTGCCAAGACAATCTATTGTTACCGTAACGGAACTAAGAAGATGAGAACGGCGATTTCGCGATTAGGAGCACATAGCCCCTGCGGCGGTAAGGCGTCTACGGTTGCGACAAGATGGGGAGAAAATGGATCGACCGCAATCGGAACTGAACCGATTAATGTTGCATTATCAAATTGTGGTAGCGTTTTGATAGTCATAACACCCTCCACAACATAACACAACCATTTAGTGCACTCAGAACCATTGCACGGGCTATTCGCGTAGCAGCTGAGCGTGACCTGTAGGGTGGCTGAGCGGGGAATAGCTGAGGTTAGTTTGGGGATAGGTGAGGTGAAGGGGTACCATATTGGCGCGACCGACGCTCGCCTGAACAGGAGCACGCAGCGACTGCGGAGACCGAAGAATCCGTGGCTGTCATAAGATGGGGAGGACAGTAATCGATTATCCATGACCAGATTTCAAACCTTTCATTATAAAAGTGCCCTGCGACTATATGGCGCGTTCCTACATTTATTTGATTAGAAGACACCGGTTAGTCACCATGAGAGCATCATAAATGCCTAAGACAGTAGTATCGCCCTGCTTATGCCTTACTTTGTTCCTTTCTTTCACGAGTTAAGAAGTGAGGCTCTAAAGCAGTTGCTTGAGCCCGGCGAAGCCGGGCTTCCAAGAAGGAGGAGAGCTCGGCGTTAGCCGGGCGATCCGACTGGTATGTCAGATAAAAAACAATAATCATTCAGATCAACTATCAGACAATAGCTCATCAGCCGTACGCGTATGATATACTTTTATTATTATTTCTATGAAGCCGTGGATGAAAGAGCCGCTTCAGAGCATTGATTAAAAGGTGGTAAAAATTGTAGTGGTAAAAAAATGTTAGCGAAAATTTGAGCATAGTGATGATATTTCTGATGATGATCTCTACAACTTATATGGAACGAAACTCACCCTATACATGCTAAGATCTATCCGGAGACTATTGTGAAGTTGATCGAGTAACTTCACAAAACGCTCTTTGCCGAAATTCGACGCAGCGAAACGGTCCGACGCCGACACAGCAGAAGTAGCCGTAGTATGTGCATAGAAGCTGCAAAAATCATAGATGATATCGCCACAATATTTTCAGGTCTCTTTGAAGAGAAAGAAATGAGCTGATTGTATTTTATGGTTGAGGCTATTGTCATTTTGGTCATCGATGTTCATAAATGTAGCAGCCGAAGCATTCAGCAAAAACATTCTACATTCATGACAACATTTAGCACGCGTTTATGATTTTGAGCAGAAGTCAAAAATCCGCTGTTGCCAAATAAGTATAACGAGCGGGACAATGACAAGGCACGAGGATCTTCGGAGAAATGAAAACAACTTACGCATTTATATTGGCAAGTAACGTAGAAAGCACTGCTGGCACTCCAACACACATACTAACCTTGTACAGAGCGCAGGCAAAATGTGTCATCGCCTGTATAATGAGAAAGTATCTGTAAAACGTAGTAAAAATAAAGGGAAAATTAAATTGCGATTTTGCTTTAAGAAAAACATCCTAAGTTAGGAGAAAACACATGGAATATCAAAATGGTATGGTCTAAATACTACTATAGTAGTTGCTTGGTTGTCAGCGCTGGAAAGAGCTTTTTCAATGAATCTTCAAACTGCTGCAATATTTATGCCAAAAGGTGGACATTGTCCTTTGGTGTGTTAAATTGGGGTTGGCAAATAAAGTGATGACATTTTTCTTACATAACATTTGGTACAGTGATCGATCGTGCTGAATCCTCTTCGAAACCCTGCTTGCTCGCATGGCTGTCCTTCGTCTAGTGTTCTGCCAATCCTGTTCAGGATGACTCGTGTGAAGAGTTTGTAGACTACAGACAGCAGGCAGATTGGGCGATAATTGCCAATGTCGTACAGGTCTCTCCTTCTCGTGGGGGTGGAGAGGGGGGTGGGGGAAGTCGTACCAACACCCAAAAAGGGGCGAAGTCGTACGAAATTGACCAAAATACCCTACTAATGATGCGCCTCGCAAGAGAGCAGACAGATGAGCGGTACCGTCAGTCTTCGTGTGGCAACTGTATTGGGCGTATTGCGTCGCAAGGGGGGGGGAGTGGGGGTGGATGCTCATAAATTCAAAGCCCCTGCCCTAATTGCCTTGTACTTCAGAGGGCGAAGATGGCGCCAAAGCCTTGTACTTCAGAGAGCGAAGATGGTGCAAAATCTACATTTCCATATCTGTCCTTTCAACGAAAGGTAGGAGTTGTAACCTGCACTTTGACGAAAAATAGTAATGTCTTTTACAGTAGCCGGGATTCACCTGATAAATACTCTCGATACCGTAGCGCATGGCAAATTCCTCAACGATCTCCTGGCCAACATCATCAAAGTAGACCTTCCAGCTGTCTTCACCTTTTGCATCGGGTATTCGAATGTCGTCATTTTCCGCACACATCGCCTGAAAGCATTCGCTGAAGGTTGGATCCATGCTTATCAAAATGAACTAAATTCATTTCATTTATACTTTTGAAGCGCATGCATTAGAAGCTTCTAAAAGCGTGATAGGTTTTTATCTGTATTTTTCCTCATTTCAATTGCATCAGTACCCCTCAGTACAAAAAGAACTTCGCTGCAGATAGAAAAACGAAAAAGTAATCACGTGCAGCGATGTTCGGTTTGCGGGGGGGGGCATTGATTGTTACTTAGCGAAGCTTGTACATGCAAGCTTGTAAAGACCTGTAAACTCTTCTTGCTAGGTTCATTTGTACCTTGTTGTACTTTATAGCTCCAAAGAGTTTACAGGACAGTTAACATGAATTAGTAGAATGAACTAGCCGAAGTAAATACAGAATGCCCCCCCCCTCCCTATGCCGAACTGCACTCATGGATGAGTAAATGAGTGAATAAATTACCTGAAAAAGATGTTCGTGTAGGCAAGTATACTGCACATGGTATGAAGCAAGTTTTTCTTCTCCTTTGATCTCAACGGAAATGTGCAAGCGAATCGCACCCGATACAGCCGATTTGTCCGTACGTTTCTCTGGAAAAGTCATTTGCAGATCATTTCTCATTTGTTATTCCAGAAAAGTAGGAAATTAAAGGCTTCTCCGGATAGCATGCACAAGAGCACAAGAAATTCTCAAGCCATTTCGATAAGTTCAACTATCGAAAGTTTCATTTTTCAAGAGAGAAAGGGTGTTTTAGCAGTCAAAGGGGAAGAGCTGCCTCACTGAAAAGGAGTCCTTCCTCAGCAATATACCGCTGCCGATTCAGCCATTGAGAAGGTCCTCACAAGGAGTTAAAATGCTGATCTCACCTCACAAGTCACCCCAATCCGTCGCTGTGGTCAAAAAAGTCAGTCTGAGAGCAGACGTAGACAAACATTGAGATTTGGAAAGGCACACTCACGGTGCTTCTTTTTTGAGTTCTCTCCAGTTTTTCCAGCTTCCAGCCCGGACCAAGTCGAGCTGGAAGCTGGTCTTTCCTTTCATACACCAGAATATTACAGGGTTTGCTTTTTTCAACGAAGTGTCTCGCGATTACATCTCGTGGGGGGATGGGGACAGGGGGGGGGAATGTGTTATTATTACTGTAAGGCGGCTCCTCTATAAAACCCTCTAAGAACTATTCAAATGAGGTCCAGTTGACTTGCAGTGCAAGTGAGTGGAGACCAGAAACGCATAGACGCTCAGTGATGCGACGAGATATGAGAGAGCAGACAGTCCTGCAGGAAAAGAAGATGGACCATTTTTTTATTGGTGGAGCTAAATGAAAAAAAAGACGGCCAGTGCCAGGTCACGGGCCCGTAGCTTCCTTACCACGGAGTTTTGAGAGGCGGAAACAGTAAGGACACGTTGTACGTTGAGAATTTCCAGCGAGAAGGATCGTACTCGGTCGATGTAGAAGAGAAGATTTGGTGGTGAATTCTTCCAGAGCGCGTCCTGCCGTTCGGGAAGAATTCTACAGGAAACGATCCTCCGCTTCTCCCAACCCCTCCCCCACTCCTGTTTGACGACAGTGTCTTTGGGAAAACTGGAGGATTTTCGGGAAAGCTCCGGAAAAGTGGTAGGAAGTTTGGGAAATTGGGAGAATGCAGGAAGATGGTAACTGGGGTATGGGGGATGAGAAAGAAAGCGCATCATAGAAGGATTTTTTGAGGGCGAAGCCTTTTTTACAGCACTTTCCCCAACGGCAGAAGTAGAAGTACCGTGGAACTAGTACACCACCCGGGTCTACGAGTCCTGGTGAACCTATTTCACGTACCAGGTAATCGTGGAACCTCTCATTAGATCATCTAGGGACAACAATATCCTGAAAAGTCCTCCTAAGCCCTCAGAGTCTTAGTAACTTACTACGATCCCGCTCATGAATTAAAAGGATTAAAGTTTCATTGGCCTTTCCTGTCACTGGACGCATTAATGCGGAACCACGACATTTGGCAGACTGAAATAAGCGCTCAAAGACCCGCGGCAATACATAGATCGTTGGTTGTTTTAACCAGAGATCCGTTTTCTCTGACGACAAATCGAGGATGTTCTTTCTTATCCTTCACTAATGCGTCCAGCTAAATTTTCAGGAATTTTAGGAATTTCTCGAGACTCTGAGGGATGCCGGCGGTGAGGTCCATTGAGAACTACTCCACAAACGTGTAAGAAATACGGTACACATTTGAGAAGAAAGAAGAAAACGGCAAAAGTCGCATAAAAGAGGGGAGACATCTGAAGAATTGCTTGTGCGAAAGTGGGACTGCTGTAATCGGAATAAGAAGTTTTTGCTAATTCAGAGAGGGAATTCTAGCCGTTTTCGCTGGGGAGAATGGAGCGTATGGGGTGTGGGTGCTGTGACGCGACGCCTGTTAATTTTCCGCGATTTTTCGCCCGTTGCCGCCTTCAACAATTGGTGGGGAACAGTCTGTCCTCGGTTCCCCGACACACCCCATCGCCTGCAGCGGAAACGACTGTAGGTAGTTCCGGTGTGGATCGATTTCCTTGTAAAAAAAGGGGTTTCACGTAATGGTCGTCACAAATTTGCCCTTTCACCCTTTCAATGCCTGTCACCAGGGCACGCCATCGTTGTGATAATCACAGCAGGTTGTGGGTCGTATTTGATTGCGAGAGGAGGGCACCACTTGCATGTCCAGAAATTTTGTTTGCTTGTTAATTGATTTCCTCTTGTTCACGACGCTATAAAAACAAGGGGAGGGTTGTTTTTAGTCAGCAAAATTTTGGGGAAAAACCAGAAATTTTTCCGGGGAAAACTGGAAAATGGTAGGAAGTTGGGAAAATTAAAGAATGTGGTACGGTAGGATGGAGGCGGAGGGTCCTATCTTGAGATCGGTTTCACGAAGTCGCATTTTTCAGGATTTTATCACAGAACGGCGGTCAACGCGATGGCGTGCCCTGCCTGTCCCCTCTTTTAGCCGGCTTACTCGGCAAATCAACAGAAATGTAAATTCGTATAAATATACTCACCTAGGTTATACCACACGTCCATCTCACCCGACAAGGTTCGAACTTCGATAACGGTCTGTCCGAGGAAATCGTCGCTTTCTCGTGTCAACTTTTGCCGCAGTTTCGATTTCAAGTCGTTGTCCTCGTCCCATACTCGAACTTTTATGCGATCCGTTGAATTATGGCATTCGCTGGAAAATTAACTGATTTCTTTTAAAGGCACGGTCCGCAATCAGGTATGAAGTTGAAAATATTGCGTCGGGTGGGTAGTGTGGTTCACGACAACCCTGTACCGGTTTCGCGGCAAAAAATTGCGAGGGAAAGGCGCTGTAGCGCAATATAGGTTCAGTGACGCCTCCTTTTTTCCAGTGACTCCGCCTCCAGACTCCGCCCTCAAGGCCCGCATTTCAGTGCTGCAGGACGAAAAAGCATGAAAATCGTCTCTCGCAGGGTCGTAGACTTCTTAACGGGGAACCAGCTGGGCGATGGGGGAGGGGGGGGGTAGTGTTGGAGACAGAGTTAGTTGGGCACGTGCAAACTGGGGTCGGAATGGGTTCCTATTTAGAGCAATTGGCATGTTTTTATCGCTTTTTTTCTTCGCTTTCGAGCTACTCAGAGCCTTGTCGTCTATATGCGAACTCCTAATCCACTATCTGTGATGGCGAATGATCGCGGACTTTGCCTTTGATTCTTAACGCTTCAGGCCACTATAAACAAAAATGCATAGGAACATGACTGCGTAAAACGCGAGATGGACTCCTACCCAGGCCAATGAAGCCTTCCACGCTCCGGGGCAGTAAGTTAGTATCAAATTCGTCTGAAAGGCCAAAATCACCGACTTCCCCGAGCAGCTAGCCCTCGCAACCATTGTACAGGCCACACCGCGTTCAAAGGACTTTAAAGGCAGTTGGCACGATAAATCCCTCAAGACGACTAGGATCAATACTCCTGGCAGGATAGAATTCCGCGACCCTGGGCAGGCGCTGCATAGCGGTTTCCCCGAGGAAGGTGCCCTTATAAGGGCCCTATCAAGCCACAACTTTACGTCCCAAACGCCCGCCCGCCCACAAATGGACGACCGTTCCTGACGCTCGTATTCATTCATTTGCTAAGCAAATTATGAAGCGAAGGGATTGGTATGAAGCGGCCGTGATGCTGCATGCATATATGGGTACACATATGCAGCCGTATCTTCGGTAGCGGTGATTGGTAAGATGCCTACGGGAAACTAAAATCGATTTACAAGTCACTGAGAACGGAGGCTTTTTCTTCGCAGGATTTTGACCGCTATCTTCTCCGCCATTTTCCATCACACATAGCACCTACTTGTCCTTTTAGGGCGTTGCCGAGGTAGAATACCATCTGTGCAGCTTGCTTTCAAACAACGTACACAGGGGCGTGCATCCCACTAAAACAAATGCTATGATAAAAGTGACCCTATATTATACTAGTCGGTTCATTTGAAGGTTAGTCCGGTGAAATCGTAGGTGTCCTCTTTTTACAAGTAGCTCTGCTTGCTCAAAGTCTCTTGAGACTGCCCCGCTTTGGGCTGGCTCACTAAACAAACTGCGGCCTTGATAGTGCCAGATCTTATCAGATCACCCTATCAGTTGCCCCTTCCCAGCGAGACTTAGTCTGTTTTATGTAGCCAGTTCAAGTCTTATTGCGGTTTTTTTTTTGTTTTTTTTTCCATAATGCTAGATGTTAATAGTATTGAATGAACGAAAAGAAAACGATTTGAACCGAGATCAGAGGACGGCAAGGATGTGAGCTTTCTGCAAAGGAGAACTGTTATATGAGGTGGATGCTGGGGGGCGGTCCTTATAGTTGTTCTCCATGGATCTTTTTTTCATTTTTTTTCATGGAAAATTACTTAAGGGACCATGCATTGCAGAGGTTTGTCCGTTTAAGGGTTGTAAAAAATGATTCAGAATGTTTATAAAAGAGAAGGATAGAAATACCGCGACCGGATAGGTAGGTCAGCCGTAACCCTGAATTTCACCTTTTTGCACCATTCAGGAGAGGTTCTTACGTGTCACTATATTCTATTTACACCGATCAGAAGACCAGTTAACCGTCGCTGATATGAAACGCCCTTTCCCCCTAGGATTGATAGAGCCGTGAGTTGATAGAAGTTATCACGAATGAATGTATAATGTATAATACCCATGAGTATGTGACACACATTCAACAGACCATGCTGTGCTCGCCGGTCACACCTGCCTTGGGGACAAAACCCGGCCCCTTACTTATGTTTTAAGGCGCCCTTCTCACCCATTACACTACAGAGAATTCACGAGAACTTCTCTAAATACCAGCCATGCTTGCCCATAATTATTTGAATAGGTTGAAGCACAAAATATAATTTGAGGTCGGAAGAAGCGAAGTGATCGAATTAATCACAAGAAAACTTCTACATTCCATACAGATTCGTTCTTGATGGATCGTTCGCGTTCGCCTTTTCACCTTACCAACCTGAAAACGACATCTGAGCACCGAAGCCCACTCCTCTTCAAAAAGCAGGATACAAGGTCAAAATAATTAGTTACAAAAATAGAACAGCTCGAGGTCAATTACCTGAAGCCGTCACGCTCCAAGCGCACCTCGCCTCCGCTTTACCGGTTTTTATCCTTGGCAATCAGTCCTTGAGCACAGATAACTGCAAATGGGATATTAAGACCAGCTCTGTCCTTAAGTGGATTTTATTTGGTAAACACAATATAATAAGAGAAAACCAAAAAAACCTGAATGGGCTTTCTATCCGGCAGGGGCTAATCAAACCTTTGCCCATCGGAAAGCGAGTATGAGGCTTATACTATCGACTCATTCGACGTTTCTTGGCCTCTTACTGGGATTATGCGAAGCTTTTCTCAGCATCAAAAGTATACGCAAAATCATAACGCCTGCTTATTTCACCAATGGATGTGAAAACATTCTAGCCAATAATCACTGGCGTTCCCGACATTCAGCCGTACACAGCATCGTTGCTGCCGAAAACAACTTAGGGGGGTGGAGAGAGTGTAGTACGATTTTCTCTGGCCGAGTGGGGTTTCGCGTTCTCGTCGTTTACCCCCCTCCTCCCTGACGGAAAATTTTTGGGTGAAAAACTGGACTGGAAAATGTGGGAAATTGGTAGGTAGGTGCGAAGGGGGCGGCGGTCGTATCGAGACTTTCTCTCGGAGAGGGGGGGGGGGGTCGAACCTACACCACCACCTCACACATCACGATGCTGTACCCCGTCCGCCCCTCCTCTTTGCCGTGTCAGACAAGGGTGCATCAATAGGAAAAGCACTGTATATGTCTCCACCCTCTTGATGACCGTGGACTGTTTCTCTGAATTAAGTAAAAGTCATGTTTGAGTGATATGCCGGCGTGCGTAAGCTTATAACAGTTACAAGCAAGGGATGCGGCTTGGGTAGGGGGCTGTAGTGCACTTCTGTGACTTAACGGATTGAATTACACCCACTGCCATAAAGTATCATCACTATGTGTCCCAATTTCCTTAGTCTCGTTTCGTCCTTGACGGAGAAGGCTCCTATGTGAACGCATGGCCAAAATCATTGTACGAGCCAAACTCAAACGCATCTGTGATTCTTAATAGGAAACACTCAACGGGGTTGAGCCCGGGATCCCAATCGTGGTGTCATACAACAAACATTAGCTCCAAACGACCACTACTTTAAAAAATACTAGTTCAAGGCTGGAGATATAGGATGCGGCTAAAAGCAGAAAATAGCCAGCACTTATTTAGCGAATTGGCTCATTTCCCGGTTGACTGACTTGGTTACTTTATTCCTCCCACACCAAACCAGTTGGGCTGTGGAGCAGATCCCCGCTCATGAAGCCACCCACCATTTTATTCTCGTAGCCCCTGTACAGTATCTAAGAAGTTCTTACCAGTTAAAGTGATCTTCGCACTCCATTTACTACTTCCTTCAAGTATACTCGTCTTGACCTGCTTCAAAGTCTCTTGTTGTACCCGTTCATCAACGTTGAATATTGTCCTTAAAAAAAGGGAACTATGATGTATTCTTTTATATTTAACGACCACATAATTATAGGCAGGCATACCGTATTGTCTCGAATATTTCTGGCTTGTTCTTTTCCTGAATCTTCATACGATCACGAATCACCGCCACGAGAGACTGTATTCGCTCGCCTTCGCCATGCTTGGAGCTTTTCTCAGCAGCTCCTAAAATGCTCAACCTTAGAAACGTGCTGGAAAGAAGAAGGTTTATGAAACACTTGATTTTCGAACAAATTTTTGAGCAACTTCAAAGACTCTCCAAAAATTTTCACCGCTGTCTAAAGCAGATATTGTAGATATCGGTCCTAGGTACTTGGGAACTGTAAGCAAGATAGAGTTACGTCAATTTTCTGCTCGCCTGCGCTCTCATAGTTGTCAAACAAAAGAACACTATCTCACTGGGAAGGCGCAAACCAGCAAATAAAAAGGTGGTGCCTAATCTTGCTGTCGGCTGTCAACTACAACTACTTTAGCACCCATATATATTTTTAAAAGGGTATGGAATTATTTATTACCAGCTGTTATTTTTCGAACAAATGGTCCATTGTTGAAGCTTGATCACAGGGCGGGCGCAAATTATGACAACATAGTACGATTGCGAGGCTTGGCGCTGTTGGGCAAGATGGTAAGGGGGTGCTTTTTGTACATTGGCTGCTTCCCATTATCGCGTCAAGTAGGAACTGCTTATCAACTCTTGTGAAGATTATCCGTGAATTCTTGTGAAGCAATAAATATGACATGAAAGCAACAAAAGTGCGAAATTCCCTCGCACTCCTTCCCCCTCCCCCCATTTCACCCAAGCCGAACTGCGCCGGAAACTTCCTTGATTTTCCAGTTTCCTACATGAATCATGCATGTTTCTTGTGTACTGCACTTCTCTTCGAATTTTGCACTTCTACAGAGCTTATTGCTGGAGCGGTTCTGAGAAATGCTGAAGTTTTCACCTCATCGCAAGCCTATCATTGAGTTTCTCAGAGGAGCCATGCTGGCACGCAACAACCAGGCAGATCTTGGAATGAGCGAAATTGCCAGACCACTGGAAGGCCTGAGACTTGGCTACAGCCCAGGGAAATCCTCTCTCTCTCTCTCATCACGTCGACACGAGCCAGAATCTATGCCATTTGATTCAAATTGTAAAGACACATGGTTACGCTCATACACATTGAGGCGCTGTATTGCAGACACCAGGCCCCCCAGATGTCGATATGTTCGTGGTCCCCCGCCCAAACATGCCCAGGAATGGAGATACAGGGCCGTGAAACACGCTAATTCTTCCATGCTCCGCCCACTGCCTTTTTACGGCGCAGATTCGCCGCATAACATCGTCGTAAAGCGCGCCTATCGCGTGCGGCGCCTCCTCTGGCGCAGCTTTGCCAAGTCCTTTTAATTGCGCTCTCAAATACAAGTAAAACGCAATTTCCTGATGCGGATAACATTGGAGGTGCTACAAAATAAGAGCAGAAGATGATGACAAGGGCCAGAACTCAAGAGCAACTCGGCTGCATCTGCAGTATCCATCAAGGGCCGCGCATTCCCACAAAACATGAAAATAAAAACAGCCCAAGCGTCCCACTCGTTTGTTCTAAGTATTTCTATGGCTTTGGCGCCGGATCGTAGAAATTTACAGGCCAGTTTATCTAATTTGCCTTTCCTTGATTTTTTCATTTTTGTTTTGTTTACATTTACATCGTTGTGCTTCATTTCTAGCCTGTGTCATCTTCATCTCCTTGTACATGGATTTTGAAGCATGAGCAATACCTAAAATTTCATTCGCATCAGGAATTTGCGTCTTGCTTGTATTAAACTAAGGAGTATGCCGTTTTTATTCTCATGTTTCGTGGAAATACGTGGCCTCCGAGGGATGTTGCAGAAGTGGCACAGTTGCTTTTAGGTTCTGACCCTCGTCATCATCTTCTGCTCTTATTTTGTAGCACCTCCAATGTTATCCGCATCAGGAAATTGCGTTTTCCTGTATTTGAGAGCGCAATTAAAGGACTTGGCAAAGTGCCAAGGAGCCGCACGCGACAGGCGCGCTTACGATGTTATGAACGGCGGGAATCTGCGCCGTAAAAAGGCAGTGGGCGGAGCATGGAAGAATTAGCGTGTTTCACGCCTGTAATCTCCATTCCTGGGCATGTTTGGGCGGGGGGACCACGACATATCGACATCTGGGGGCTGGTAGTCTCATACACCCTCAATGTGTATGAGCGTACCATGTGTCTTTAAGCGTGCGCGAGATCCAGACCGTCCGCAGCACATTCAAACCAGTTGCGTAAGACGCTCCAAAAATTAGAGGTCCAGTAGCGCGTCTTTTCTGAAATGGCGTTTCTTGCCGATGCCATGGAGCTCCGACAAGACGGGATTCGTGGCCACAGAGCCAAATCTTTACACTTGGTTAAAGGACGATTTTCTGCGCTTCGTTGAGTCCAACGAAGTCTTCCTTGCTGTTTTCCCATGGAAGCGCGCCTACAGACTGCCTTGTGCCCGCCCTCGCTAGCTACTGAAGTAAGAGTCCGGATGCTCAATGCTATAGGCGAGTAAGCCAGCCTACAGCGTGGCATCGACTGTGTCTTCCTTGCTTGTTTCGAGAGGCGTATGAGAATAAGAGGAAGGCCGTGCTATCTTCCTACAAAAATGCGTAACCTCCTATTTTTATGTATTTTTCACATATTAGAATAACAGGAGGGCCGCTGCCCTATCTTCTTACAAAATGGTTAACCTCCTATTTTTCTCGATTTCTTCCACGAACACTATCAGCGGCTCCCAACTGATAATCGTTTTGCGGCCTGCGTTCCTCAACAGTAATGGTAGTGCCAACTGCAGCAGTAGCGCGCCAATGTGTGTCATCTGAAGTCTAAACGCTGCCTTAATTGCGTGGTTCGTGGGTACTTTACTCAAGCGGTTCAAGGTTTGCGATGAAACGATAATACTTTACATTAATCTTCAGAGATCATTCCTGTATTCCTGTTTTTGCTCAGAATTCGGGGTCACGGCTTATCCCATGGATTCGAAGCTTTTTCTGAGTTGCTTGGACTAACGCTCACACTGCATAAAAACAATCTACGAATAAAAAAGAAACAAAAGTAAAAAGTCATACAACCGTAATAAGCCAAAAAACAAATAGAAAAGGAAAGAAGTAGCAGATTACTCGAGCTCGACAAAACGAAACTTCAGTTACCGGAAATTCTTTGAACCAAGGGAATGAAGAACAGTTAGGGAACTTACTCTGCAAGCAGTCAGCGCTGAGCAGCTCACGGCACTTCTCATGAACCTTCACACCACATTCGGTACAACGTAGCCCTGTAGTCAAAACCGTTACACATTATTCAATAGGAAATAATTTTATAGAAAATATAAGTAAAGGTCATACCTTGCCTAGCCAGTCCCCAAAGCAGTCCTTCACATTCGTAGCACCAAGTCGGAGTTTGAAAGTTGGTCGTTTGGAAATTGTGTGGAGTCGTACAACTGATCGGATAAATCAGCGCTTGTAAGCACTTTCGATAGACGTGTTGTTTCTGAAGAGGTACACTACGCTACGAAGGTTTATGCTGATCATCTTCAGTACAGCCTTTCCCTTCCGAATTTGCAAAATTACGGTATCAGCAAGACAAAAAGGTTTGTAAAGGCGCTTCTAATCCCTGAGATGCGGTGGGCCTGTCTAGGTGTTTCCCTTGGACTTGGCGGCTGCTGACTCTTAAGCAGAATACTTTTGTTTTGGGACAATGTCAATCATGTCTTTGTCCGAGACAGGACAACATGACAGCTGTCTCACGCTCAAAATATCCCACGAACACTTATCCTACACCATATTCAGATAAAGTAAGCAGCCACGCCTACCAAGTTTCAAGGCTGTGGAGTACATGCGGCTGTGGGGGGAACTAGGTGCACTGGGAGCAAGCTAGGTCCCACAATCAACGCGCAACCAAAGGGGTGCTGCGCGATTCGAAACCGCATCAGATCTCTTGACCCACATGCCCACCCATTCTAGAATGCCGGTTGGCATCGAAGTTGGAATCCTAGACTTCCATGGATGTGTTCCAAAAAAGTCGAACTCATCCACTACGGCAAAACAAAAGGTCCTAATGTAGTTGGGGGAGGGGGTAGAGAACAGGGCACGTCATACGTTGGAATGCCAATGGTGGTCTTATTTGGTTACCGTGGTATTTGGTAGTAGTGGCCGTGACTGGCCTTAGAATTTTTCTTCTGGTTATTTTTCTCCGGTTTCCGGCACTACACCTCCTCACCTCCCCTCCCCCTCTCCAAGTCGGGTTTTCCCCGAAAATTCTGTTTTTCTTATTTGACCGGACCTGTCCACCTCTCCCGCTGACGGCAAATTTTGGTAGAAGTTAAGAAAGGTGATCGGTCGATTGAGGAAGTTTGCGGAATGTAGGGGGCGTTGAGGGGGATCCACCGGAATGCCATTCCACTTTGCAAGAGGAGAGGGTCGTACTCAGCTGAACAAAAATTCTCCCCAACGCCAAGACGTGGCCGGGTTAGCAGCTAGCAGTTAGCGAGGCCCAGTTTGACGGCGCAGACCCTTGCGCAGACCTATGGAACAAGGCGCTTCACCCATTCCATAGACCTCGTACTTAGAAAGAAAGCTTCAGAACGCTTCTAATAGCTCGCCCAGCGGCCCACTTGGGAGGTTGCTCATGGAATTTTCAGCACTTGAAGTTTTCAGCAGCTTACTTACTAATCTGCGGAAAACGTAATATCTGAGAGATACTTACCAGTTCCTCATCTCCGAACGTTGACTTGGCGGCGTTGGCAAGTCCGGCCTGCGCTCTCTTTGTGGCCATCGTCTAAACCACAACAATAATTTCAAACAAAATAGATATTAACCAAAAACAAGCAAAGCAGGTCGGGTTAGTAAGCCGCCAAAACGTAGGAAGCGTTGTTAGTTCATGCGGGTTAATGTAAGAAAAGATTTTCTGGACAAAATCCAAAAAAATAGTTCTGCACCAATTACTGCTTAAAGACACATTCCGCGATAAACGGATGAGCGCTTAAGTGGGCGGAGACCCACAATGATTGTGCCATACTCACCAAGTGCGTCCCTCATTTTGATATGGTAAAGAAGAGCGATGCACCAATGGAAAAGGCACCACCATTGCGAGTGTCCGCCCACCCGATTATCGCGGAATATGTTTCTAACAAAATACTCTTGTCATGCTGCCAAACTAATGAAATGTCAGCAGTTTGGCCAAGCAAGTTAGTCAAACAAGTGAAAAACGAAAAAAGCTGATAAAAATAAAAAGCAAAATGAGTTAAACCAAGGGAATCTTGAAAAAAGCATGCTCATATGGCTGACTATCATCCGTGACTGATTACTCACGCAATATCGAAAACCCGAGAGCGAATAGAATTGCATATGATGAAGGATGCAATATCGATTACCTCATCGCTCATCATATACGACTTTCAGACATCATCTGATCACAGTGGCATCTCGAAATCCGTGGCAGTACCACAGAGATCAAAAAGGAGCCCCTCTTCCAAAAAACTCTCCTTTTGACAGCCTTCGTGACCCCCCCCCCCATCTCAAACATTGCTCATGACAGCCTTCAGCCATATGGCAACCAAGCTTTCAAAAAAGGACCAATCAAGCCAAATTCGGTAAAAGAAAGCGATTAAGAGCCATCATGCTTTACCGCATACGAAATGATGATGGATTTCCTACCTTCAACACCTGAAAACATGATATTTTCTATTTGAAAGGCTTGCATTTAGGTTACCTAAAAACAGATACCCGAAAAATCGCTGAAGAACCTCATGTCAGAACCGTATAAGCCACCATTCCGACTTTTACTACGCCTACTTCAGATTGTTACTCTTTCCATCAGATGTCCCAGGAAACTTACTATTCTTGAATTCAAAGTGGGAGAAGTTCGTGCAGTTTCCCATTAGGTATTCATTGGCTGGGTAAAAGAGCGTGGCTTTCTAAACTGTTTTTCTACGACCATTTCGGTTAATTTTCGTGTTGCTCAAAGGCGAGCCTTCTAGCCGTGACTTTGGTAGATAATTTGCTCAATTCGCTTTGAAATGGAGAATACTGAAGTACAAAACCATGCTTATTGCATTTTCAATGAAAGTTAAAGGCACCGGGCAGGGTACTGTATGGCAGGACGCTTTCACACTCACCCTGAATGTAAGAAGAAGCCCCTTCAAAGGGTGTCTCATTGGATAGTTTCATCGAATACCTTACCACCTGTACTTTGTGTAGTTCCGTGACGCCTCTGTATAGCGCCCTGCTGTGCAAAAAGAACGAGGGTTCCCGCTATCTGAGCATTGACAGGTATGCCATCCACTGTGTGAGACAGAACGGGGTCCATTTAGCCGCTAAAGAACTGAGGGCGTACTTCTTCTGCAAGGGAATTTTCTCTGATTGTTTTTTGGCGTTACAGGCGCGCTGTACCGTCTTGTTCGCCACTGGTGCTGGGGCGTGTGGGGGCGTGCTGGGTTTTAGATCGTTCTCCACCAACTGTGGAAGCGAGTGAGCGACAACAATTGGTGGACTTCGGAATGGCACCCTCCCCCCCCCCTCATGAAAAGCTCCCGCCTACATCCGCGAGCGCATAAAACTGTAGGGCAAATAAAATGTGCGAGTCAGGGAGTGATTTTTTTGAGTGAGAACTCCGGGGTGAGTGAGCCATCCATTGATAATTAAGAAGTTGAAGTGTGAAATTACAGTAGTGCCCGAAGGCGCATGGTGATGAGAGCACGAAAACGAAATAACGTAAAAGTGATCAAAAGGTGCGGTTTGGTCCTAGATATCGGTGCAAACGAGGGCAGATGGTTTACCCTCGACACTAAGGCAGATTCCGCAATCGACTTTTCGCTGAAGTCGTGACCATTACCGATTGCTCAACTCCTCATTCGGATTCTGCGAGAAGTCCATTACGGAATCTTGGTGTTACAGTAAGCACACTTGTTGGGGCTATGTTTACACAAAGCATACCATACGTGTTAGCGTACAATGTATCTCTGGTTAGGGCATTTGCCGCTGGTTTGTCATATGATTTGGGTGTGTGGCGATTCTATCGTCGACGATAAGTGGGTCGTCGCGCCGGTGGGCGGAGCCGGCGGCGTGGCGGCCGCGTACGAGTTCTGTTGCGCGGCGTTCAAATTGTTAAAGGGTTGACGATCCCTTTAACAGTTTGAAAGAGTCATCCTATTTTAGTTATCTTTTTTCTATTATGTCTTTCCTATCCTATTTCCTTTCCTGTTATAATTATTGACTATTACTCTTACTCTTGAGGTTACCTTTGAAACAACGCTAATCCCTTGCTCCAGTGACAACTCGGGAGTACGGTAATGCAACGCCGGGATTGCCGCGCCGCGTGGCCGCGCGACACGCCGCGACGCGACGTGACCTGTCTTGCCGACGATAGAATCGCCCGGGTCCCATATGATTTGCCACTTTTAGACGTTTTCCTATGTATTGTGATGGTGTTTGTGGGGCTGTTAAGCGGAAACGCTAAACGCGAGTGTTACATCCATCTGGCGCCACAGCCGTCGTCGCCACTTGTCTGGCACTGTGGCGCCAAACGGATGTAGCTTCAATGTTAAAGAATATGGGACCACCTCATAGACTAACTGTGAGCCAACTTTGCCAAAGTAACAAAATTCGGGAGACGATCAAGATAACCGTAATTCCGTTGCCGATCAGTGCAGTATTTTCTTGTGGACAGAACTGTTTTCCTTTACTTGTGAGCGAATTTTCCTTTATTTGTAAGCTTAATGTTCCTTTGTGAACGAAATGGCCAAATGGTTGAATTATTTTCATTCGAGAGTCCACTACTTCAACCCCTCAATTGCTCCCTGTTCGAGGCCAATTACTGCATTTCTGAAAAATGGTCTCAGTTCATAAGTTTGAAAAGCAGATTACTTTTTCTATAACCTACAATTCTGTTGTTTCCATACTACCCATTATGAATAGAATTCCAATTGTAGTTCATTTATTCATTTCATTCATCCCAGTAAAAGCCAACTCACATGAAACCGCGCTTGCACCTACCAGAACTGACGAACTGGAGAAGCAGAGAATCTTTGAGCCACCGTGAAAGGTTAGATACGTATCGATTGTCTCCACCAACAGGGAGAACCAATCGATACGTAGCTGAATCGTTTCATGGATTCTGTTTCGCAAGGTATGAACGCAGTGAATGCGCTTTGACTGTGAGCCCGCTTTCATACTTCGCGACTCCGTCGCGCGACTGCGATCAATCGTGTTCCTCCCCTGATTATTGGACTGCTGCATAGGTCGAAGGAAGGCTTACATCGAATGCGAGTGAGTTTACAGTTGTAACGGTCCGACGACTGGCGGTGGAGCGCGTTTGGTCGCAATACTAATGGAGGGCAACATAGTCTGTGTAGCTCAATGGAAAAGCATGGCGCCGCTGACGCAAAGTGGGAGATCTAATCTTACTCAAGAGCCAGAATTTTGTTCATAACTAGGTCTTTAGGTGGTAACTTACTTACGACTAACTGATTCATATTTACGCAAAAGTGTTTAGACCGTTGGTGAACACTGCAGGAACTTCTCCCACAATATCAAACTCAATATCAATCCCTCCCACACAAGCTCATACACCTGCCGCATAAATTCCTAATGTAAAGTAATGAGGCAAATGCCAACTTATAACCATTTAAATAATTAACATCAGAAACGTGGGTGAAGATTTAAATAATTTCTAACTTACAAGTTCCGAGACGAGTGGTATACTCGTCTTCGTCCTGGCCACATTCATGTTGGGAGCCGCATCGATGCTCTTGTAGAACGCGTTCGCCGCTGCCGAACCATTTCCATCGAGTACGGTCGACTAGAGCAGACAGAAATTTGGAAAAGTACAAAAATGAAAAAAAAAAAATCGAAAATAAAAGAAGCAAAAAAGGTAAACCCACTAACAAACAGAAACAAAACAAGTAACACTTTTGAACTGTAGCCGATTCATGATTTTCTAGCTTTCACGACATTGCACGATGAGTAACTTCGTTTCACGCGTAGATTTGATTAGTTGCCATTAATTTGCTTCTAATCTACTCTTACAGTATGACTCGCGAACGACAGTTTTTCAGAAAGTTTTCTTTGGAAAAAATTGTTCCACCAACAGATGGTTCCCTTCAAACCAAATCGGGCGCTGACGCAACTTACAAGGGAGGTCGTTCAGGGCGTGGTGCGCTTTTCAAAAACGGTTTTGTGCATATTGTAGGGGCTCATGCAAGGACCTGAAAAGTGTGCTTCATTTTCGCTGCGCGCTTCCAGGAAAGGTAAAAAACGAGTGAAAAGAAATTGGAATCTGCTTCGTTCTGGGCCTCTATACGGCGTAGGTCACTTGCAACTTTGACCAGTTGCTGAGTGGGGGGTCCTTATAAAGGGGCTATTTGAATCGAAGCGAAAAATCGCCGCAAGTGAGCTTCCAACTTGGGTCACGTGCTCAAGGGTGAACGGCTTCTTGCAATGGTTTCATCAACGATTAGAGCGCTACGCAGACTCGAGCATCGGATGGCCTAGTGGATAGAGTGGAGGTTTCGCAATCGGACAGTGAGGGTGGGGTTAATGGTTCGGCTCCCCTTCCGTCGCGGATTTTTGCATTTTTTAGATTCAGCTGTTCTCGCTCCCATCTGTGTCTGCGCATGAATATAACTCGGATATTTGCCATTTATGGGCACATTCTGAGTAGCTATACCTCATGAGTCAGTGCTATTCAACTATTTCGATTTTCACGCACCATTGAACAAGATTGTTGCTGGACGTTGATCCTCATAGGCTATACAGTGGATCTGATTGCGAATTTAGTAACTTCTGATGTGGTTTCAATCATAGACAATTTGGAGCCACATCTTCATCCCACTGAATTCGTTATGTACACCCATATAGGGACGTTCAACGCTATTCTGGAGCCAAATTGCGTGGACGCCAAGAATAGGTGTTCTATTTGTGATCAGGGCCACTGATTCCCACTAAAAACGAATTTTCGGTCAAAACAACTGTTTTGACCTTCCTGTGTTTGCTTACTGGGTTGTCCAGGGTCCGTAGCGTCAACGATACGTCATCGCTGTTACGAAGATGTGAGACTCCGCTCACACTGCCGACCAAATGGTCACCTACAACCCGAAAAAGTCAAAAAAAAATTTTTCGCTCAAAACTTGCTCCTAGGGGTAATCGACAGTCCTGATCACGATTCTAGACTTTATTTTCGGTTCCAGTGCCATCTGGCACCGGCATAGCGCCGAAGAGCTGAGTCTGTGCATACTAACGAATTCGAACGAAAAAGCAGTTTTGCTCCATAAAAGTAGGATTGTTCAATGTTTTTGTTAGGACCAATTATTTAGACAAACATGGATCCAAAAAATGAAAAATTGTAGAAAAGCAAAATTTTGTCCTCGGTGGGATCCGAACCATCGACCTATTTTTTACGTTTTTTTTTATTCGTAGAAGCGCGCAGCGAAAATGAACCTCAGTTTTCTGGTCCTCGTATGTGCCCCTACAATATGCACAAGACCATTTTGAAAAAGCTCACCACGCCCTGAACGACCTCCCTTGTTAGAAACGGCAAACTCGGATTTCCTGCCTAACCACAATGAGCAGACCCTGACTCTTGCGCTTTCAACAAGTTCGGATACTTTTTCAATAATTCACTCGTAATTGGCTTGCTCCCAAGAATAGTCCCGATATAGGACACTAACGACTCATAGTCTTTTTCGCTGTGGGATACTGGGCGTGTCAGGGGATGCGTCGATTTGACGGGGCGCCAGCTTCTATCGCGCAACGTTGTCGCACGGTTTCAACAGTCGATGGAGATCGGGCAAACGCCGCGTCAAACCCAGCCTCCTTCTAAGACGCCCCAACGCAGCTATAGCCGTGATAATTTCTTTCTTCTCCGTAAAAACCTATAAATCACAACCCAGGAAGCAATCGCTTACCAGAAATCGGCGATTCCTGTACACGTCCGTGAGTAGTACCTTAGGCCGCGGTTGATGTCGCGACTTGGTGGCACTTGTGCTGGTCTCATACTGCACTGAGACGCTACGTTGCCGCGCCGGAAGTATCCGGCCTATTTCTCGGAGTTCTGGACATGATTTCGAACGTTTGAACTTCGTTCGTCGCCGTCGGCGACGTCGCGGAGCCGCTGTGCGCGCACGCCGTACCTTCTTGAAGCTTTTCGAGAAGGCGAGCAGCGCACGCGCTCGGTCCGCATCACGTGCCATTCACCACCGCGGTTGCACCATCTGGCAAGGAGATCAGTAAGGTTAGGTAACACATGACGTCATCGGATTCGAGTCGTAGCCGTTCAAAAGGAAAAAGAGTAAGTAATGGAAGACATAGGTGATGAGAAGATAATACAAATTAGGTCTCGAATGCGGACGAGATCGAGTGATGCCTCTAGAGATGGATCTAGTTACCGAGGGTGGCCTTTCCACAATCAGACAAGAAAAGAGCGCAGTTCGGCTAGAGGGGGCATTTTACACTTTCACAGCTTCGCATAGACGCGTTCATTGCTTTGAAAGTTAAAAGGTACTTTCTTGGCTTTCACAATAGTTGAAAGGTATTTCTTGAAACCTCGACTGGTCTCACTTCATAGTTCCACAAATCTCTGCTCGATGGCTCGACACGACTATGGAAAGTAGCGAAGGTGCAAGCTGCCTTCCCTTGACCGAACTGCGCCAAAAAGGTAAAATTAGAAGAGCTGAGAGCTGACGCTAGGCTTCTTTAGCGATAAGAACTTTAGAAGGCAACATCAAAGGGTTCATAACGAAAGTGATGAGGGAAAACGAGGAAAAAGAATCGTTCTTCCTTTAAAATTACTATTTTTGAGAACTGTAATTATGAAAGAAAATGACATGGACAATTTTCGATCAAATAATGTTTCAAAGCCTACACGTAAGGGGCGCGAAAAGGGAAACATCTTACTCATAAGGAGCAATATCGATGTTTAGTTGGTTTATTTTGTCCCATGAGGTGACGAAGTACATGGGAGGTAATATTATAACCAAAAACGAACAGCCTAAGTAGAATATTCCCGGGATGTATTCTACAAGTAGAACGAGCCCTCTATCACTGCTTGAGATGGAATCTGAAACCACCGCGCAGTGGACCTCGTGAGGCCAACTGCACGCAGCAGCACCGGCAATTCTCAGGTTCGAGTCAGTTGCGTGGATTACTGGTTCCTGGAGAATTCCGCTCAGATTATGCAAGACATCAGCAGTCCACCTGCTTAGACAAGATCGCCAGGGCACATTTCTGTCCCATGATCCGACCCTACAGGTCAAGTAGGTTGTCAGGCTTCCGATTCCATACCTGCCGGTTCTACAGATTCCGAAGGTAGACAGACTGAAACAAATGTTTCGTATAAGAGTTTTAACCCACCACACCGTGCTAAATAAGTTTCAGAGGTACGCTTTATGACGGCAGTGGTGGCCTCGCCCTTATTCCACCCCCCCCCGCCCACTTTTCGATGCGTTCGCGCGTTCCGTGTGAGAATGTGCCACTAAAAAATGAACATTACGAAGGGTTATTGCACATCCGTGGTTTAATCGAATTAGACTGATGTTGCGAAATTTCGAAATTCCTACAAAGTGTAACCAACATTTAACATTCAATTCAACATGAAACATGGCTAGACCAGCGGTGTCCCTTTTTGTGGCCTTTTATTTTGATATATTTTGATAAGAGATAACTTTTGTCAGATTTCTACAGCCCTATTTATGGGTATTATTTTGTAGAAGCATAGGTTCCTGGGAACGCTCTGGAGAACCTTTCAGTGATAAGCGGACGAGCAAGAACTAGCAGTCATAATGTTTCCCTCTTGCTAGTACATTTATGGGAAGACCGCACCAATGAAGAAGGCACGTGATCGTGAGTGCCCATCCACTCACCTTTAGCGGAGTGCCCGCCCATTCTTCTTTTGCGGAATGTGCCTTTGAGACGTCGGTGATTTCACTGATCACAAGGACCAACGATGACTCGACCGCAGAAAGGGTTGTGGATTTCAGAGGAGACATCAGACACAGGTGAGCGGCTATCAAGAAGAGAAGTGAGTCACTTTCCTAAGCCTCCCAGGGCCAGCCTGCATGCGTCTTACTTCGCAACAGGACTGAAGTTCGTTAGAATTCGCATTCATCTGACTGATAAGCTGCTCTGATACCACTTACGTAGTCTAAGGACACATTCCGCGAAGAGTGGGGGTAGCCCGGTCAAAAACATTTTAAAGATACCAGCTGACATGCCAATGAAGACGAGAGCAGAGAAAATCGTCAGGGACACCTTTAATAAGCAATACGAATGCTCGATAACCGGAATGGGCGGAGTTTCTGACCATCGCAAACAAAAGCGCCCTTCGACATATCTGCGCTCCTTGATGGACGGGAACATTCCATCTATCAATTAATCACAAAGTAGCACCTCTAATGATAGGATAACTACTTTGCTTTCCCAAAACTTACTGATAACTTTCCAGATCTTCCTCCAGATTGGCGGAATCACATAGATTATAACGTTCGCAGATCTTCCTGCCGGATTGCCATTGCTGAAGCGAAATAATGGGGGGGGGGGGAGCTCTGGATAAAAATTCTTGGGCCTCATTCGACTCCCGAAACGCTCTCCCCCTACTTTCCCAATATCCGTTGTCTATATGAGCTAACTAGCGGCTCTCACTGTTAATAAAATATAAAAACTACTTTTAGCGCAGGTGCGAAACTATCGCTGATTATCACAAAAATGCTGAGTCATAGGCAAAAGTCAGACCGCAGGCAGGACTCGAACCCGCAGGCGCTTTTCGAGTGAGCAGCTGTCATAATTAAACTGTCACTGATTTCAGATTACTATGAAAAATTAAAATAATATAATAATAAAATATAAAAAATATAAATATAAAGTAAATAAATATATAAAAATAATAAAAATTGGATCTTCAAAAGTCCCACTGGAGGGAGTTTTTCGTTGGAGCGAGGAGCTTTCTCTTTTTACAGAAAGAGAAAGAAAAGGTGTGAGAAAAAGATGATTTTGAAAAATTCAACCCCAAAATTAGACTATTCTATGAGACCCGCGCAGGAAGAACACATGTGCGCTAAATGTTGGTTCAGTTGGTACGCAATACGTCAAGCTGCTTAGCAACCGCTTCATTATTGGAATGTTATTAGGGTTTTTGTGCAAAGTTGTGGTATAGGCCGCGGGATCAAAAAAGGACTTGTGCTACAATTCCTATTCAGAGAGGTTTTACGCCTTTGCTAAGCTATAGAGCGAAGGAGAGCTCAATAACTGGTAAGTGGCACTTCTCGGAAGGTAGGTTCGATGGTCCAGTGGTTTGCTCACAGCCTTGAGAGATTGAGGTGCTTCGCTTTTAAGCGGTTTTTTTGCAGCCCTGGAGGCCTATAACTCTGCACTTGTGGCACTCAGACAGCCTTAAAAAATGCAAATGATATTTTCTGGTTTTTACTCAACGCACAGGACTAATTAGGGCATAGAAGAGTGAAAAAACCATCAAATGGAACAGAATATGAAGATTCGTCGATGCAGAAACGGACGAGTGATTGATGAAATCTTCATTGCCAAGATGAGGAAAAACATGTTTTTTCCCACGAAAGGAGGGGATGAAGGGTGACGATTTCCCTGCTATTAGAATGAAGACGGGGGATTGTTAGAGATGACCAAACACCGCATCGAATATGACGTAACCTGCTACAAAGGCATCAGCTCAGTAAGACCCGTGGCATCGGGACGCACGACTGGTGTGAAGCTAGCAACGCGGGGCCGCATTTCTCGCTAGGAGGGGTAGGAATATGGCCTTCAGGAAAGTTTTTTCATTGTTGTTTTTTCCGTTTCATGAGTGTTATATATTCCCACTCAGTAGGGCTTCCCATATATTTATTACCAGCCCGAGCCGCTTCGCCGGCTGACACCGGCGCGCCTCCTTCTGAGATACAGCACGGCTTCGTCGAGCAGGCGCGGCTCCGCCGCGCTTGCCTTATTCCACTCATTTCATTAGCCACCTAATATCAGGCTTTTCTTTAACCTGAACAGGTGGTCAACATTCCTTGACCAATAGCATCATACCTGCTACTTTCAACACTATTACAGTGAATGGAGTGGTGGCACGGAGCGTTGATGAAGTGGGCAGATGAGAGAAAAGCCGGGTATTAGTCGAGCATTTGATCATACGAATGCAGGTAAGCGCGACGCCCCGCAAAGCCGGGCCGTATCACATAGAGGTCTGGAGTGCCTGGAGTGCTCTGGAAGCGTTTTGCGAATTTTTTAAGTTTGGCTCCACCCACCTTGGGGCACGCCCCGCCCACAACGAATGCCTCGCGCTTCTCAACTTATGACCCCTCGATGACCTTAAACTACTTTTTCCTGGTGTCTGGAGTGCTCTGGAAGCGTTTTGCGAATTTTTTAAGTTTGGCTCCACCCACCTTGGGGCAGGCTCCGCCCACAGCGGGAGTGCCTCGCACATTTGCTGTGCATCGTGGCCAATGGGGGCGCAGTGATATCCACCTCAGCTTCTTTTGCGCTATCTGTAGCGCTTTAAAGCAACCAATTAGCGGGTTTTACGAATGGTACCGGGTCGGGTTCAAATGCACGCCCCGCCCACTGTGGGCGGGCCTTAGTACTCCGCAAACATGGTGGACTCTTGACAGATGTTCATCTTCGTCATGGAGTTTTCTGCGACCTCTAAACATTTTCGGGAACCGAGTTACCTACCTTTATGGAAAGCGCCGCCCATCTCAAGCACGCCCCGCCCATTCCGGGTGTGTTTCCTCCATTTGCTCCGCCAACCCAATGCTAGCCTTATTCTACTTTTTCCCATCTCCGGGTTGCCTTTTAGCCGAGTTATAGCTTTTTTCAGTGACACGGGAAGCACCGCCCATCTCTCGTACGCCCCGCCCATTTCGGGTGCGTCTCCTCTGTTTGGTCGGCCACGCCTTTGTTAACACTACTGCACTGTTTCCTCATCTCGGGACTGCCCTGGAACCGAGTTATGACTTTTCACGTGACACCGCTAAATTTTGGACGCACGCCCCGCCCACTGTGGGCGGGGCTTACCATGGGTCATGGGTGCTATTTAGGTTTTGTCCCATGCACTATCCATCCCCACCCTGACCCGACCCCGCCAGGCTCTTCTTCAGGTGCTATGAATTTCGTGACAGACAGACAGACGCACACACACACACGGACATAGCCGATTATATTAGTAGGATTACCAGGAACTGAT